AAGAGACCCTCATGGGCCATCCAGTCCAACTCCCTGCCAAGAAGCAGGAACAGCGCGTTCAAAGCACTCCTGACAGATGGCCATCCAGCCTATGTTTAAAAGCTCCCAAAGAAGGAGCCTCCACCACACTCTGGGGCAAAGGGTTCCTCTGATGAACATCTCTCACAGTTAGGAAGTTCTTCCTAATGTTCAGATGGAATCTCCTTTCCTGTACATTGAAGTCATTGTTCCGCATCCCAGTCTCCAGGGCAGCTTGCTCTCTCCTCCTTATGACTTATTCTCACATATTGATTCATGACCCTCATCATGTCTTCTCTTGGCCTTCTCTTCTTCAGGCTAAACATGTCCAGCTCTTTAAGCCGCTCCTCAGGGAGCTTGTTCTCCAGACCTTTGATCATTTTAGTCACCCTCCTCTGGACACATTCCAGCTTGTCAACATCTCCCTTCAATTGTGATGCCCAGAATTGGATACAGTGTGATTCCAGGAGTGGTCTGACCAAGGCAGAATAGAGGGGTAGCATAATTTTCCTAGATCTAGACACTAGATTCCTATTGGTGCAGGCCAAAATCCCATTGGCTTTTTTTGCCGCTGCATCACATTGTTGGCTCATGTTTAACTTGTTGTCCATGAGGACCCCAAGATCTTTTTCACACGTACTGCTCTCGAGCCGGGCGTCCCCCGTTCTGCATCTTTGCATTTTATTTTGTCTGTATCTTGCATTTGTCCCTGTTTAACTTCATTTCGTTAGTTTTGGCCCGTCTCTCTAATCTGTTAAGATCGTTTTGAATTCTACTCCTGTCCTCTGAAGTATTGGTTCTCCCTCCCAATTTGGTGTCGTCTGCAAACTTGATAATCATGCCTTCTAACCCTTTATCTAAGTCATTAATAAAGATGTTGAACAGGACAGAGAGCAGGAAGGAACCCTACTTATGGTACACCACTCATCACTTCTTTCCAGGATGAAGAGGAAGCATTGGTGAGCACTCTTTGGGTTCGTTCACTTAACCAATTACAGCTCCACCTAACTATAGTTTTGCCTAGCCCACATTTGACTAATTTGAAAGTGAGATGAAAACTTCCAAAGAGGGACACAGGCAGCAAAACAAACATTATAAGCATTTTGCAATTTAAAACTAAAACTAAACTAAAATATGGAGTTACACTTAAAATGTGTCTGTTTCATTTTACATACAAATTAAACTTAAGAACAAACCTTTTAGAATCACATCAAATAATTTCTCCCACTGATATGTATTGGGCCTTATAATTTATTTTGCAGTGGTGATAAATTAAGCTGCAACACTTTTGAGCTGAGAATCAGTAATGGGAAATTCTTCCTTGCCAATGAAAAGATTCAGAGATCAAGATGATAAGAACAGCGAAACAAGTCCACTGTCACAACATGGCACTCTGTTACCAGCTACTGTGTTGCTGGGAGGTGACAGGACCTCAGGCATAGAAGGGGCTTATGTGGCACAATATAAAAGCCCTGACAACAGGTAAACAGTGCTGTAGGTTCCTGGAAGAGATCAGACGTCAGCTCTGTTTATTAGCTAATGGAGACAGGTGCCAAGCCTCTTACTGTCAACACCAGGATATGGTGGCAGGAGTGTAATCCGCAACATGTAGCTTGAGATATTGCTAAGGCAATTTAATAGAGTTTAGTGACTACCCCAAATCCCAGCAGGTAGGTTTCATAAAAAGGAGCACTGCTATTTCCTTGTCACAACACGAAAAGACAATCAGTTTCTCCCAGAAGCACAAAATAGTGGCCTGCAATGGACTTTCATATTTCTCCCAGGAGCAGCTGGGGATGCTGCATTTGATCTTAGCCAAAAGGAGGACTTCCCAGATCTTTAGGATTTGCTTTATCTTTTATTGATGTGTTTTTATTTGAGAAATATATATTCGCGTTTCCAATATAAAAGCCCTCTAAGCAGCTATTTAAAACAGCAGGAAGATAATTAGGATGCCGTTAACAGCATCCTGAGCTATTAGAAGCTGTTCGGTTTTCTTCGTGAAATATTCACATCCTCATAAAACTGGCCATAAGTACAAAACCATTAACCTAGCTTCCCAAAGCTCTCTTTTATTTGAAAAGCATTTAACTTTGCAATTATTTAATAATGTATGCAGTTCCCAGAAGCTTTAATTTGTTTGTTCCCAAGCAAAAAGTTTGTGAACAGTGACAACAGTTGAAAGATGAGTAGAGAAGTGAAATAAAGTAAAATAATCAGGTTTTGACAAGCAGTCTTATCTAGGCTGAACCCAGATTCTTACCCTCAGCCTGATGCACATAGAAATCTACACACTGACTGCTGTCAAATAATGCAGCTTACTGCCTCCTGTCCAAATTTCTCCTCCTTTTTGGCTTCTTTGGGGGGGGGGCAGTTGTTACCACATATGTATTTGGATCCCCCCCCCCCATTTCTAAAGAAATAACAGAATCATAGAGCTGGAAGAGACCTTGCAGCCCATTCAGTCCAACCCCCTGCCAAGAAGCTGGGAAATTGCATTCAAAGCACCCCTGACAGATGGCCATCCAACCTCTTTTTAAAAGCCTCCAAAGAAGGCGCATCCACCACACTCTGAAGCAGAGGGTTCCACTGCTGAACAGCTCTTACTATTAGGAAGTTCTTCCTCATGTGCAGGTAGAATCCCCTTTCCTGTAGTTTGAAGCCATTGTTCTGCACGCTAGTCTTCAGGGCAGCAGAAACAAGCTTGCTCCCTCCTCCCTATGACTTTTCTCCACATATTTATACATAGCCCTCATCATGTCTTCTCTCAGTCTTCTCTTCTGCAGGCTAAACATGTCCAGCTCTTTAAGTCACTCCTCATAGGGCTTGTACTCCAAACCCTTGATCATCATAGTTGCCCTTCTCTGGACACATTCCAGCCTCTCAACATCTCCCTCCAATTGTGGTGCCCAGAATTGGATACAGTGTGATTCCAGATGTTGTCTAACCAAGGCAGAATAGACGGGGAGCATGACTTCCCTGGATCTAGACACTATACTCCTATTGATGCAGGCCAAAATCCCATTGGCTTTTTTGCTGCCGCATCATATTGTTGGCTCATGTTTAACTTGATGTCCACGAGGACTCCAAGATCTTTTTCACACTTACTGCTCTAGAGCCAGGCATCCCCCATTCTGTTTCTTTGCATTTCATTTTTTTCTGCCTAAGTGGAGTATTTTGTATTTGTCACTCATTGTTAGCATGACTTCCCTGGATCTAGACACTATACTCTTATTTATGCAGGCCAAAATCCCATTGACTTTTTCAGAATGGAATATGAATTATGTTTGTGAGTACCTCGGGAAAGCACACATCAGCTGTCGGAATTTAGGACACAACTTAAGATCTATCTTTTCCAGCAGGCCTACCAAGTCAATTTTAACTTGTGAGTTTTAACCTGTATTTTATTGGTAAATTGTAAGCTGCATTTTACCTGTGTGCATTTCATATATATATATATATATATATATATATATATATATATATATATATATAACTATTTGTGTGAAGGCACTGTATGGTACTCCTGTAGCAGAAGCTAAGTAGGTTCAAGCTTAATAAATCTGTGATCAAAGACCACTTGAAAACTCACATTTGCTGTTCTGAGCTCTTTGAAAAAGGAGTGGGAAAAAACCGCAACAAAGTTGGTTCCTGCATTAGTTAGTAGCATAGTCACAACATGTAATCTGATTTGCAACCTAATTCCAAATATTACACCAACCTCTCTACTGTCTTCTTCTCTAATTCTGAGTGTTTGCTGACAGCGAGAAAGGATAGAGGCAGGACACTGGGGGAGCATCTGCACTGTGGAAATAATGCAGTTTGAGACCACTTGATCTGCCATGGCTCAATGCTATGGAATCTTGGGAGCTATAGTTTTATAGTCTTCTCTGTGTTTCACCAAACTATAGATGCATCTATTTGTTATTGTTGTTGTTGTTGTTTATTCTTTTGGTCACTTCCGACTCTTCATGAGCATCTGAATGAATTTAGTTTGATGCCACTTTAGCAGCCATGGCCCAATGCAATGGAATCCCAGGATTTGTAGTTTCGTGGGACACCAGCACTTTTTGGCACAGAAGACTAAAGACCTAGTAAAACCGTAACTTCCAGGCTTCCATCGCATTGAGCCGGGAGAGTTAAAGTCATCTCAGAACTGCATTAACTCCATACTGTAGATGCAACACAAAGTAGATACAGTGTAGATGCACTGTGTGGTTCCTAGGATTCCACAGCATTGAGTCATGGCAGCTAAAGCGGTCTAAGAACTGCATTAACTCCACACTGTAGATGCAACACAAAGTAGATACTATGTATATGGACTCTATGATTCCCAGGATTCCACAGCATTGAGTCATGGCAGCTAAAGCGGTCTCAGAACTGTATTAACCCCACACTGTAGATGCAACACAAAGTGTAAGGTAAAGGTAAAGTTTTTCCCCTGACATTAAGTCCAGTTGTGTCCGGCTCTGAGGTTGGTACCCATCTCTATTTCTAAGCCGAAGAGCCGGCGTTGTCTGTAGACACCTCCAAGGTCATGTGGCCGGCATGACTACATGGAGCGCCATTACAGTGTAGATGCATTCTATGATTCCCAGGATTCCACAGCATTGAGTCATGGCAGCTAACGCTGTCTCAGAACTGCATTAACTCCACACTGTAGATGCAACACAAAGGAGATGCACTCTATGATTCCCAAGATTCCATGGCATTAAGTCATGGCAGCAAAAGTGGTCTCAGAACTGCACTGACTCCACACTGTAGATGCAACACAAAGTGCAGTGTAGCTGCACTCTATGATTCCCAGGATTCCACAGCATTAAGTCATGGCAACTAAGGTGGTCTCTGAACTGCATTGACTCCACATTGTAGATGCAACACAAAGTAGATGCAGGTTCAAAGTATGAAAAGGATGAATAGGGAACAACTTGAACAGTTGAGGCGCATCCTGGCATTCTCTTCCCGTCGCTTCAGTCACTCACCTTCAATCTCTTCAGGAAGATGTCAGGAGGCTGTGGCTGGGCTGCTTTTCGGAACTCCTGGGTGTAGTCACTCCTGCATTTGCTTCTGAAGTTGCCATAGAAACCGTTAGCGTGCTGGAGGAGCAAGACGGGCAACAGGGAGACCCTCATTAGCAACAGAGCAATGTAATCCAGCTGCCATCGCCAGACTCTCTGGTTAGTTTTGATAAGGCCAGGGAAGGTCACACTCGGCCTCTGACAATGCAGGAAGGGGTGTTACAGGGATGCATTGCTATTCTTATTACTGGCAAGGGAAGCAGCTCTTCAGGATGGGCCAAGCAGACAGGCAAATCTCTGAAGATGCTCTCCTGCTTCTCACGGGGAAACTTGGTCGTGTATTCCTGCAAAGGGATTGACAAGAGGCTTCATTTGTGGGAATCAGGAGGAGTGTTTCTACACAATAGATCAACACAGTCCAGACAAGTAAAGTGCATCTGCCTCCGCTTATTCCCTGACATGGCTAACAGGGAATGATCAACAGGCAGGAGGTTTCAAAGCTGCTTACTTGTGCTCACAATTTGGAGAAGTTACTGTTCTGGGCTACGGTGACACATAGTGCATTCACACTGTAGAATTATTGCAATTGTACTACTTTAGCCCCCATGGCTCAATGCTATGGAATAGTGGGAGTTAGATGCTGAAGTCTCACCAGACTGCAATTCCCATGATTCTATAACATCGAATCAGGGGAGGTAAAGTGGTGTCAATCTGCATTATTTCCATGGTGAAGATGTCTCCTAACTCCTACCTATAGATACGGTAGAAAGATTGATTAGATAATTGGATAGATACACAGTGCAATGGCCCACTGTGTTCAATTCTTCCTGTGTTTACCCTATTGTATTATTTTGATGCTGTTTGTATTTGATTTGGTGTTATTATCTGTTGTGTGTATTTTACTTTGCTTATTGTAATTCTTGGGCTTGGCCTCATGTTAGTCACCCCGAGTCCCCTTGGGGAGATGGTGGCGGGGTATAAATAAAGTTTTTTTTGTTATTATTTTATTTAATGGTGGGGGTCTGGGTGTTGCACTCCAGGACAGGAAAATCCCTCTGACTTTAAACACAACACATTGAATAGGAAAACAATACTTTTATTGAAGATAATTAAAAAGAAGCAAAGTAAAAAAAACACTTTAAAGAAATTGGTAAATCCAATTAGGTAGGAAGATAAACAGGAACAAAATAATCCAGGGTAAAGTTCAGCAAAGTCCATGAAAACAAAGTCCACACTTCTCTAATATAATCCAGAAAACTAGGAAACATTAATCTAAGGCATGAGTATGTAGTCATAAAATCCAAGAATCAAAACCATGAAACAAGAAATGCTTAAGCATGAATCTTCCAAGTTAGTCTTCCATGAAACAAAGACGAGAACTTAACTTGATTCCAAACGATGCTTCATCTGGCTACATTTCTCGTACTTGAGACTTTTATCCTCTCATTAAGCTATCTCAAGCTCTCAGAAATTGGTTTCACTTTAATTGAGATTCCCTTATCTTTTTCTATTGAAGCATGGCAGAATGCCAAAGCCACTGTTCGGCTTGTCTGTTTTGACTAATCTTCTGCTGTCTAGCTATTTGCTCATTAACTTCTGCAGGTGCCGAGTTGTTTTCAAGCCCCAAATCATGGGTATCTCTGGTAGCAATTCAGGGAGTACACCATCATCCCCACACCCTTCAGGGACATTCTCATGGGAAACTACACTTTGAACAGGGATCTCCTGTTAATTCTCTGCATCAATATAATTGACCAAACCATTGCCATCTTGAAACTCATTGACATCACTCCCCACACCCAAAGTACCCTGATCCTGAAACACAACCACAGGCTGAGCAACACTGGGTGTTGTAGCCCCCAATGTACATTTTCCAAGTTCCTAACATCTAAACCATGTTATTAATCTAATGTTATTGCCAAAAAATCTATTGGCAGGGCAGGTCTCAGCATTCTCTGATCTATATATATACAGAAGGCAAAGTAAGTGTGTATGTCTGTTTGTTGGCTTGTCTATTTGTAACAGAAAGACTCCTGTATGGCTTGATGGATCTGGACCACACATGCCACACTTACCCTTCATTAACCAACTTAAAATAATTGAAAGTATATGAAATAAATGAAAAGAACCACCCCTTTTGGGCCCATTCCTGAGGGAATGACAAGAAACAAAGTGGATTGGCTGTGGCTAAGTGAAATGGCCCTCTGTGATATCACAAGKAAAGAAAAGGAATGAAATGGCTTGGGTGCTGCTAGGAGACAAGTGTATGGGGAGGGAGCAAAAGGAAGGAAGGAAGGAAGAAAGGAAGGAAGGAAGGAAGGAAGGAAGGAAGGAAGGAAGGAAGGAAGGAAGGAAGAGAAGAAGGAAGGAATGAAGGCAGGGGAAGTGATAAAAAGAAAAGAAGAGAAAGAAAAGTAACAAGGGAAAGGTATAAGTTGGACAGCAGGGAAGAAAAGAAGGGAACAAGAAAAATGAGAAAATGTATGAGYGGAAGGAAGGAAGGAAGGAGAACAGAAGAAAAGGGGGGGGAAGGTGTATGCRAGAAAGAAAAGGAAGAAGGAAAGGAAAGGAAAAAGAAATAGGGAGGAGGTGTATGAGAGAAATGGAGGAAGGAAAGAGAGAGCCACAAAGAGAGCCTGCCCAAAGAGAATAGCCAGGGCATTGTCATGGAGACATTGTGAGGTAGGTAGGTCTTCACAGAGCTGGAGAAAGGAGAAAGCGGGGCGGGCGGGATGGGCCTTCTGATTCTCAAGCAATGCTGGGATATAGGCAAACATATCTTTTAAATTTAATATTCTATGCTAATCATAATTTAGTGCTGAAATAAAAAAACATTAGATTCAAAAATGTTTCTGCAATAAGTGCACATTATTAAACATAAACAATTTTGCTTTTGCCTAGATTTACATAATATATCCTCCAACATTTGGCAATTAAAATAGGGACATGCATATAACACCCCAGTTTTCCAGCCGACCAATTGGTGAGTCCCTCATTCCTAAATATGATATTGTTTAAAGCTTCTCAGTACATGTTGTACACTGTGCTCATTTATTTTCAGTTAGTCTGTTCTGCAATAATTTCAAGTCCAGATGGCAATCATTCTTTCTGTTCAAGATGTGTTTGTAAAAAGATAATTGACATATATTTGCATATCAACTATTTAAAAATAAACCTCAGAAGCTACACTGTGTGAGATATGAGGTTGTGCACTGCATGCTGCCTTAGCATTAATACACAGAAGATGAGATTCCAAACTAGAAGACGTTGATCCAACTATGAGTTGAGTTTTCCTTATCCAACATCTCAGGACCAGAGGAGGTTTGGATTTTGGATTTTCCTGGATTTTGGAATGAGGTTACATTTGAGGAGATAAAGAGGGGTATAATAATAATAATAATAATAATAATAATAATAATAATAATAATAATGTATTGTCGAAGGATTTCATGGCTGGAATCACTAGGTTCTTGTAGGTTTTTTCGGGCTATATGGCCATGTTCTAGAGGCATTCTCTCCTGACGTTTCGCCTGCATCTATGGCAAGCCTCACTACCTTGAGGATGCTTGCCATAGATGCAGGCGAAACGTCAGGAGAAATGCCTCTAGAACATGGCTCTATAGCCCGAAAAAACCCACAAGAACCTAATAATCATAATAATAATAATAATAATAATGCCACAAATACCATCTGCCTGTGATAAAGAGACAAAGAATTGGTGGGAACACAAGCCGGAAAAAGTTACAGAGAATGAACACGTCAAGCTACTCTGGGACTTCCAGATTCAGACAGACAGAGTTTTGGAACACAATACTCCTGACCTCACGATCATGTTAAAAACAAAGTATGGATTGTCGATGTTGCAATCCCAGGTGACAGCAGGATTGAAGAGAAACAACTGGAAAAGCTGACACGATATGAGGATTTAAAGATTGAGAACTGCAAAGACTCTGGCACAAGCCAGTCAAGGTGGTCCAGTGGTGATCGGCACACTGGGTGCAGTGCCTAAAGACCTTGGCCTGCATTTAAACACAATCAGCGCTGACAAGATTACCATCTGCCAGCTGGGATCTCCACGCATTATTCGCCGATACATCACACAGTCCGAGACACTTGGGAAGTGTCTGACATGTTATCCAATACAACAGCCAGCAGAATGATCTTGTTTGCTGTGGACTCATCTTGTTGTGTTTCAAATAGTAATAATAATAATAATAATAATAATAATAATAATAATAATAATAATTAGTTGCAGACATATTCTTCAGGCAGTGAACAGGTAGCTGCATACATGAACATCACCAAATGGCCAATATAGATATCAAATTGACTACAGAATTTCAAGCAAAACACAGAGACATTACGTTCTGAAAAGATCAGAATCCTGAAAGCATCTATCCAGTGATTTGTATGGAGAGATAAAGAGAACCACTATAAATGCAAATAAACAAGGCAACAGTCACAATCTTTCTTTCCACCTTAGAGGATAGTAATGGCCATCAAATTTTGGTAAGAAAAACCTATGATAGGTGTGCATTCATCCTAAATAAAAAATGTCTTCAATACGAACAGTGACAATAGCAACACAACTGTCAGGAATAATGTTCAGAACCTTGTCTTTAGAGCTGTTCTCAGTCATTTCCTATACAATTCTTAATCTGGCTGAAAAAAATGATTTAAAAAAACAAATGAAAAGTAGGAGTCTAAAACAGGTTGGCTTCTGGTTGTTTCACACTTATAGTGTGAGAATGGGAAACCTACTGCCCTGATTATGGCAATATATATATATTGGATTTGTTTCTTCTATTGGCAGGAATTTAAGGGAAGGACTGAGCTGGAACAGCAGGAGGCTATCAAAGGCTGCTTTTCTGTTTACATTGCATGGTCTGTGTGTGATGATTAAGGTCTCCTGGGTACAAAATAATGCCCAATTCCAGCTTTCATCAGCAGGCTGTAGACTCCTGTATTTCAACAACATGCCTCATACAATAGACTACAAATTAAGCCACCCCAGAAAGCGTGAGATAAAAGCTGGAGAAAAAGATACATTAGGTTACAAAAGAAATAAAAGAAAAGAAAGAGAAGAGGCGTTTTGAAAGAGTGTATTTATATTCTGAAGTGTGCCAAAAGAAAATGAGGAACATGTGTCATATCAATGAAGAAAGGGACGAGAAAAGATGGGAAATGAGTGAGTTCATAAAAACATTACAGCCATGCCTTAAATATTTATAAGTGAAGTTTAAATATTTGCAAGAGAAGTTTTTCCAAAGTGAATGACTCACCTATGTCATTAAGTGACTTCAGAACACATCCAAAAGATAGACAGTTGGACCAGACAGTATAAGGGGTTATTTCTTTTCAAGTGATTCTATGTTTGCCTGAAATTGAAAGTAATCTTAGGGTATGCGGGGGTGAGAAATAATATCCAGGGGCACATTTAGATTGACTAGCTGAATGAGGAAAAAATGTGCTTGTTTCAGGTTGGGTCTTTTTTGTGTTCCCTAGTAAACCTGTCACCCTTTTAGGTAATGGAATATATGTCTTTGGGAGGCATATGTTATATCGAGGCAATATATTGCTTTCTAATGACAGCCATTTGGTATGAAGAACAAGTTGCCAGAAATGTGGGTGTTTCTGATGAATAACAACATGAAATATATTCTCCATAACTTTTGCCATTAAATTAAGAGGCCATGGCTGTGTTTAGGGTATTTTGAACCATCTACAATGGCTTAATCTTGGTTTTATAAGATCTACATAGATGCTAGCAGGAACAGCTCAGGAAGCAAGAGTCCAAAAGTGGCAGGCGAAAACCCAGCACCTCAATCCAAATGAGAGACTCCCCCGTGGGCACAAAGAAGACTGGGCAACTTGGAAGGTACTGAACAGACTGCACTCTGGCACCTCAAGATGCAGAACCAACCTTAAGAAATGGGGCTACAAAGTGGAGTCCACGACATGCGAGTGTGGAGAACAGCAAACTACAGACCACCTGCTTCAATGCAGCCTGAGATCTGCAACATTCACAATGAAGGACCTTCTTATAGCAACAAGAGAGGCACTCCAAGTGGTCAACTACTGGTCAAAGGTCATTTGATAGAATGCCAAATGTTTAAACTTTGTGTTTTCTCAAATACATCTCAATTGTACTCTTGGTTCGCTCCAAATACTATAAATAAATAAAATTTCTTAACGCCTGTCCAGTTTATAATTCAATCTGTAAATGTATTATCTCCTTTCATGGTATGTGCTGGTCTGATGTGAGTTGTGAATGAATGAATCACTAGCAACTTGCCACCTAGAGATAAGGGTCTCTTGGAGGTATGAAGGGTAGAGAAAGCTAGAATTATTGCAGTTCAACACCACTTTGCCATGGTTCAAGGCTGTAGAACAGGGGTCCTCAAACTAAGGCCCAGGGGCCGGATGTGGCCCTCCAAGGTCATTTACCCGGCACTTGCTCAGAATCAACCTAAGTCGGTAATGACTTGAAAGCACACAACAACAATAACAGCAATTCTATCTCATCAGCCAAAAGTAGGCCCACACTTCCCATTGAAATACTTAAAAAAATATATTTGTTAAAATTGTTCTTCATTTTAATTATTGTATTGTTTTGAGTGGTTTCTGCACTACAAATAAGATATGCACAGTGTGCATAGGAATTAATTCATGTTTTTTTTTCAAATTATAATCCAGCCCTCCAATAGTTTGAGGGACTTTGACCTGGCCCTCTGTTTAAAAAGTTTGAGGACCCCTGCTGTAGAATCATGGTGTTTGTAATTTTACAAGGTTTTTAGCCTTTTATGCCAAAGTACTGATGCCTCACCAAACTGCAAACTCTAGGATTTCATTGCATTGAGCCATGGAAGTTAAAGTGGTGTCGAACTGCATTAATTCTACCATGTAGATTCACTTGTGGTGGGTCCAGTGGTGAAAAAGAGGGAGGAGAAATGGAGACACAAGGGTTGAAGAAAGAGATTCAGGGACTTCAGAGCTGGTATAATCAGAGCCACTTGTCAGGGTTTTGACCAAGTAACTTTGACAATTTCTGTAGAGCTAAATGCAAATCTAAAACCACCATGAAACTACCTATGAGAAACTAGTTTCCAATACACATTCTCCAATATTTCATTAATGAAAACTAGGATGTGTGGCCATGCAACATCAGAATGTGACCAAGAAGGAAAAAGGAAGAACATACAAATTGTAGCAGTTTGCTTTTGCCTGAGTATTCAGGAAAATGCAAGACTCAGCTCCACCCTTCCTTTCAGTCTGCATTACATAAATGTCAACTACTTTTGCATTTTAAACTCCACAGCAACTGAAGTAATCTAAGGACAAAGAGAAAGAGCTAAACTGGAACATTTAAAAGGCAACACAAAAGTGAGTGGAGACAAAGCAGTAATCAGAACTGTCCCTTCCAAATTAGGACATTTAGAGATTGCAAAATGCTATAACTGAGTATCAGCCCTGAGGAAACAGTGGCAATCTAAGGATGCATCTACACTGTAGAATTAATGCAGTTTGACACCAATTGGTACCGTTCCATTACCAAGGCGGATAGCTTGATGCTATGGAATCATGAGAGTTGTAGTTTTACAAATTCTTTTTATTTGCCTCCCAAAGAGTTCTGGTGTCTCACCTCATAATTTCATAACCTTGAGCCCCATCAGTTAAAGTGGTGTCAAATTACATTAATACTACTGTGTAGATACACTTCCCAAAAATGAAGGCAAAGAATTAATCGGGACTGTCCTTGCCAAATCAGCTGGCTATTATAGAATGATATAATTTGAGTATCAGTCCAAAGGAAACACGAGCATCTGAAAGAAAGCTGCTTTTTCTATACGGATCTTTAGCATGGCTAAGTGGACCTCAAAAGATTTCTCAACACCGATCCCTTAGGCTTTTTCAAGCTTCAAAGCCTCATTTGATGACATGGCGCAGGTCTAACTCATATCACAGCTTGTGAATGCTTGATCCAGGTACACACAAAATATTGACAAAAATGAAAGTATCCCCAAGGCAGTGAAGAATGCATTCTCTCACCAGTAAATAAGCACCTGGGGTTAATGTAGAAGAACTACCAGAGGTATTAGCCGATCTCCTTTTTCTCCAAGCAAAAAAGCATGCTCAAGGGTCTTGCAAAGAGCCCCAGACATCATTTATCATAGGTATTTTGCTTACCCACGTCCCGACTATAGGGCTAGGCATCCCCTCAGGGTCTGAGGGGAGCCGCTTAAAAGCAGCCAGTCCCCTCAGTGATTAGAGTAGCCACCCGAAGCTGGCTGCGACCAGGTTTGAGAATTTGCCACCCATGTTTACACCGTTGCTTGGCAACTGTTCTGAAAGGAACACAAGGATTGTTAGATCAGGGACAAGAAACCTGCCTAGTCCAGGGGACATGTTGAGCTCACTTTTAACTCTTGGGGAATAAAAATTGCAGCGACATGTGGAGATTTGGGGGTGATCAGTTTTTGACAACTTCTGGGAAAGTCAGAAAGAGGGATGTGCTCATTTTTGGGATGAGGAGGGGAGTTGTTAACCTAAGCTTGCAACATAGAAATCAGTAGTAAACAAAGTGTTTACTTTTGGCATGGAGCTAACAATTACTAATATAGTTTGGACATTTTCTACAGATCATATTGTTGCGTACACAGGGCAGAAGCACTCTGTTAGTAATTACACATACAAAATACCCAATAATAATGACATATACAAAATACCCAGTGATAAGGACGCATTAAAAATAAACCAGAAATAACTAGACATACAAAATACACAGTAATAACTCAATAATAACAACACATACAAAATACCCAATAATAAACAATGCATACAAAATACCCAATAATAACTACACATACAAAATACTCAGAAATAATGACAGATACAAAATACCCAGTAATAACTACACATGCAAAATATGCAGTAATAACTACACATGCAAAATACGCAGTAATAACTACACATACAAAATACCCAGTAATAACTACACATGCAAAATACCCAGAAACAACTGCACATACAAAATTCTAAGGATTATTTATGCATTTGATTTATTAAAATATTCCCATCCAAACCCAAGTAACAAAGGTGGAGGCATTGCTTTTCATTCAACCCTCATAAACTGACATATGGATAAGTTGAAACGGGCTTTTTGGATTTAGGATTTGACTAAAAAATAACACAAGCCAGCAAGTATTTTTCATCAGATATAATTTTAGGTCATTCTTATAGAGTTTTTTGCACTGAGGGTGGGTGGTACGTCACAAGTTAGAAAAGGGAACTATCAGGGAAGCTCCCAAAAGCTGCTTTTATAACCAACCTGACTGCCTAGAGATTTTTTTTCTTTTTGTGTCAGGAGCGACTTGAGAAACTGCAAGTGGCTTCTGGTGTGATAGAATTGGCTATCTGCAAGGACATTGCCCAGGGGAATGCCCAGATGTTTTGATGTTTGCCAGGGGATGCCCAGATGTTTTGATCCTTGTGGGAGGCTTCTCTCATGTCTATGCATGGGGAGCTGGAACTGACAGAGGGAGTTCATCCATACTCTCCCTGGATTCGAACCTCCGAACTGTCGGTCTTCAGTCTTGCCGGCACAAGGGTTTAATCCATTGCGCCACCGAGGGCTCCACTGTCCAGAGTGAAGATGAAGTCTTTTCTCCGGTCCAATCCTGCTAGCCAATGAACTCAAATCGCCAGGTTCAAACTCACTGGCTGCTGTTCCATGCTCTCCTTCCTCCATGCGCTCTGAGGAAGACATGCCACCAAGGAGGATGGTAGTCTCCTTTGCAACACTGCTGCAGCCCAAGACCCAACTACAGTGCCAAGTAAGCTGCTTTGAGTCCCAATGGGAAGGAAGGTGGGATAGAAATAAAGTTAATAAAAAATAAGTATATTGAGCAGGATATTTGTTAAAAATACATCTACAGAGAAGAGTACAAAACTTACCAACCTGTCTCCAATAAAACAGCATGTGAGGCTTAATCTCAACAGGGAAGAGATATGAACCATATTTGAAGCACTAAGATAGAAGAATTATGTGTTAAACCTGAGCCTGACTCTTGGCTATTAAGTTATCAAAAGGTGTCAGGAGTTAGTCAAGCAATTCTGTTAAAGGTTCACGCTTTTAAAATTGACTTTTAGCTTGGCTCTGAGTAGTGATTTTCAAGACACATTGCCAAATTTACACCGCTTTCTATAATCCAGAGGTCAAAACGTTTTCAAATAAATAAAAAGTGTAATTACTGAAAAATAAAATAAAGAACCCTAATAATTCCAGAAACCCATTATCTGGTGGGGATGTATGTCATCCTGCTTGTAGAGGTTACAGTCTCTGGCAGAAATTCAATTATTCGCCCCAACTATAGCACAGTTACTGACTCAACAAGACTTGTGTAAATATTGATTTTACAACTCAATATATTGACTCAGTAGGTTTACTCTAGCTTGGAAACAAACAAATATTTTGAGATGGACCAGGGCTGTGATATGTCTCAAAATCTATATCAATACATCGATTTTATATCCACATAATTGTCTGCAAGACTATTGCCTTAGTATGGTATATCTTACAAAGATGGCTGCGGGAAGTGAATTTGAGAGGAAATAGATATTCATGAATATTTATATGTTCAAGATGAGTACACGACTTAAAAGCCAATGCTCAGAAACAGCTCTATACTGTAGAGAGAGCAGAAAGTCTACAATGGTGGAGTCAGCTGTCACAGACAGCAATGAAAAAGAAGGTCCTTCTATAATGAAATCTTGTAAGTAAACCATCTGAAAATATAAAATCTCATTTCTGAGCTTTGGAAATCCAGCTGACTCTCCCCAGCTGCCCCTGGAGCAGGAAGTGTTATGAGTAATAACAGAAAATAAAATGACAAACCGGTGCCAAATTTTATCACAACTGTACAGTATCAAAGCAAGTAATTATTTCTTAACAAGTATGGAAAAGTTGTAAATGAAATCCCATGAAGCTTCAGAAGATTTTTGAAGAAAATGAGTGAAATTGCACAGTTTTTTTGTAATGGTCTGCAGGAAGGTGATAAAATAATTTAATATCACCATGAAGCCTCTTAATAGATCTTTCGTTACACTCATTGCCGAAGGAATAGATATATCCTGAATACATGCAACATCAAATGCCTACATATGCTCTGAAAACAGCATGAAATCCATTATCCGGCATAGATTTTGTCTCTAAACAACATTCTAAATAAAACACCTTTAATGGTTGCAGGGAAAGGTTACATTGTATGTAAGACAGAATCTAGCAGCGGTTCTCAACCTGGGGTCCCCAGATGTTTTTGGCATTCAACTCCCAGAAATCCTAACAGCTGGTAAACTGGCTGGGATTTCTGGGAGTTGTAGGCCAAAGATATCTGGGGACCCCAGGTTGGGAACCACTGTAGGAAATAGAAGGCAGACAAACTAAAACTCATGAACCGTAATAACATCTTGGGCAACCTTTTGAGCGATTCCAGACACTCTTCCCACCAAGCATGTAGCTGGGGTGGGTGGGTGGGGGGCTTGAGGGGCTTCAGCTGCCCCCCTGAACTTCTCAGGGTGCTTTGCAAGAAAGCCTTACTGGTACATTATTTAAACTGTTATGTTTATTCATATCATGATCTGATCACCATGCTCAATATATCCCATATGCATGGGGGTATTGGGGTAACAATACAAAAGGTTTGCTAGGGTAGACCCTCTTTCACTCAGACTCAGCCCCCCCCCCCCCCCCACCCCCCCCCCCCCCCCCCCCCGGCCCCGAATCAAAATCCTGGCTACGGGCCTGCTTCCCACACTCTATATGGAAACCAGAGATGGAGCATAATCTGCTGAACAAATAATCTTCCAATATGCCAGTGGGAGACCACCCACCTGCCACCTGGAACTTCTCCTTTTGGGATCTCAGCTATCCATGGGACAAAGGTTGAGAAACAAATTTTGATTACACCAATAGACATTTCTGGGACCTTTTATTTGTCTTCCCAGCATGGGAAGTTGTCTGGAGATCCAGCGCTCATTATCTTTTAATGCAGGAACTGCTACCTACATAATCCTATCAATCATCTTCTTGGACTTTGTCTTCAGCATTTGTTTTCACACGCCACTGGAGGGAGTTCCAGAGACAAGGGGCCACCACTGAGAATGCCCTCTCTCTTGTCCCCACCAACCACGCCTGAGAGGGGGCGGGAGTGAGAGAAGAGCATCCCCAGAAGATCTTAAGGACCGTGTGGGCTCGTAGGGGAGGATGTGGTCATGAAGATAGGCAGGTCCTGAACCGTCTCTACCCCAAAGACCACCTCCTTTGGCTCATTGGAAGCCCCAGGGCTTCCCTGCCCAGCTGGGTGGGGAATCCCAGCTGCATCATCTCCTCCCCAGCCAATGGGAGAGCAAGCCAACAAGGCCCTGCCTGTGGACCAATCAGAGGCCTGGAAAATGCCGGCTTTTCTACCACGGACCAGTTAGGAGGCTGGGAGGGAGTTTCCACCACATATAGGCAATGCAGTAAAGGAAGCTCTACCCATTATACCATATTTACTTTATTCTAATGCTCACCTTTATTGGCTAGATTACACTGCCAAAACTGAGGTACACATTGGATTAGATTAGAATTGCACTCGTAAACCCACCTGCACTGTTGGGCAAGAGATCGCAGCTGGGGATGGAGGAGAGAGAGGTGACAGTTGCCATGAAAGATTGGTGGGATCCCGCACCATTCTGCCAGACCTGATGGGAAGCCAGCAAAGGGGCACGGCTTTCTGCCATCCTTTTCATGGCCACAGTGCCTCTCCCTCCTCCATCTTTAGTCGGGATCTCTTGCCCAGTGGCACAGGTGGGTTTATATGTGGCTTCCCACCAGCCTTTACACAGCCACTGCTAGATAGCTAATCCTTTTTTTTGTAATGCACACCTTCAAAATTGAGGTGCACATTATATTCAATGGCACAACATACTCAAGTAAATACAAGTAATTTATCATGTATCTTTGGATGCTAGGACTTTCTATATTTGTCTCATGTCAGAATGGGATGCTAATATGTGAGGAAAACCAATGTTTGTAATGTAATAAACACCATGAGAATTTCACTTACAACGGAATTATCAGGAGTTAAATTTTCCCATCACAACAGCTAGGTAAATAATCCATGAGCAACATATTCTCCAAGGGAAGGTTTTTCAACCTAGGTTATGCAGATATAATGATTTATTAACTATTCATTGTTTCAGTATGCTGCTGGAGAATAGAAAGAGCAGAGTGGAGGAG